CCCCCTCCTCCCCTCGCCGCCGCCGCCTCGTCAGACTCCATGGCCGCCCGATGACTCAGCGTGGATCGATGGGAGCACAGGTCGAGCTTTTATCCACCAATAAAGACGCCGTGTGGGTTTTTTTAACCTCTGTGCGAGCTGCTCGGCTGAAAACCTCAGAACCACACAGACAGAAACGGGTCTGGTTCAGAGCTGGTTCCAGGGAGAACCTCAGAGCTGATGGTCACTGATCAGAATCCACTGGGCTCTGAACCAGGATCCTGTAATCCAGGGTTTATCCTCATAGTTTAATCTGAACCCAACTACTGCGGTTTAATGAGGAACACGCATTCAGGGCGGTTGTTTTGTGACCATTTTGTGTCTCTTTGTTGTCGTCTGGTCTCTTCCTGTAGTCAGTTGTGTCTCCTTGTGGTCATTGTGTGTGTCTTTGTTGTTATTTTGCGTCTCTTTCTGGTTGTTTTGTGTGTTTTGTGGCCATGTTGTGTCTTCTTGTGCTTATTTTGTGTCTCTTTGTTGTCGTCTTGTTTTTTTTTTGTTCTTTTGAAAACAGTGATGTTGTGAGTCCGGTTCATCAGACTGCTGTCGTCAGTTTATCCAGTTTTTATTTAGATGTAGATTTTGTTTATATCCAAAAAACGTTTATTTAAATAACGTCAGTTTTGCAGTTTGAGCTGCTGCTGTGGCTTAACGTTAGTCACAATCAGAATGTCACAACATTTGAGTTTTTCTCATAAATATTTACTTTTTTTTTATTGTACATTTTAGTTTTTTGGAGATTTTTTTTAACTATATGATCTCAGAGAATTATTGTTTTTTGTGTATGTTTTTCTGTAAATTCCTGACATGAATGGACCAGGTCTTTATTTAAAATGAGAACCGGTTCTCGGGGAACCTACCTGCTACAATGAAGGTTAGATAAATAAATCATATGAAGCTTTAATTTCACATGATAGTTGCTTTTTTCTCTCTTAAATTGGTGAGAGTTTTTTTTTGTGTAACGTTTTAAAGTTTGTAATGTAGACGGAGTATATTAGTTATTTGAGTTAATTCTCGTGAGTTTTTCTCATCAGTTAATGATTTATTAGTCTCAGAGATTTTTTTTTTGATAAAATAAAGTTTGCAGAGAATATTTGATTTTTTCCTCATAGATTTAATTTGTGTTTTTTTTTCTAAATGATCAAATATTTTTTTTTCTTTTTGTAAATTTAATTATAAGTTTATAATTTTAGAAAATATTTGAGTTTTTCTTGTAAAGTTTTTTTTCTAGTGGATTTATTATTTTGTAGTTTTGTAGTAAATATAAATTTGTGGCCTTCATCTCAGAGAATTTTCAAATATTTCCTTGTAAATTGTGTTTTTTATAATCTCAGAGAATATTCAGATTTTTTGTGAGTGTGTGGATTTTTATTTGGAAATTTACGAGCGATTTTTTTGAATTTATGTTTTTTATTCTCACAATGTTAATTTTATAATCTTGGACCAGTTTCTCTTCTAACTGTGAGTTTTTTCTTGTAATTTTTTTTCTCATGAACTTGGTGCTAATTTGCCGCCGTCTCTGGTGTCTGAGCTTTGATATAAAACTCAGACGACATTTGTAGCCGCCAGGCTGACTAAAAGTTTGTTCGCTGACTTGCTGAGTGGAGGAGTTCTGGTCGGATCCAGAGACAAAGCGGTGGGTGGTGGATGGTGGAGGTGAAGCCTCTGACTGTTGTTGTTTCTACACCTGCAGCCTGAAGCGACAGTCGGCTGCTCTCAGCCTCCAGCACCGAGCTGCTGCCTCCAGGTACAAACAGCTGCAGCTTCCTCAGCCAGTAACACCACAGCTGCTCTAAACGCTGCAGCGCTGAGTGGGTTTCAGGGTTTTGGGCCTTAACAGAGTCCACAGGAGTCATGTAACCGTTCAATAACCAACCCATCACCTGATTAACAGACTGAGTGTCTCTAACAGCTTCAGACATGATGGTGACTCTTCAGACTAACGCTAACCGAGTGTGTTTGGATGTTGTTCACAGCAAAGGTCAGCAGTAAACAGTTATGAAGGTCGTCTGAGCGTCTCACAAGAAAGGACAGAAAACTGATTCACTTTAATCAGATACATGAGTTTAAGGCAGTTATTCACCCATAACTAGTTGGAAATAGTTTGATAGCAGCTGGAGGTTAAACTTTGTCTGAACAGGTTCAGATTTAACAGGAAGTGTTTGACTGAGCGTGTGTGGAAACGTACTCGTGTTGATCTGTTTATGAGGGAAAAAGTATATTTAGTAAAATTTCCTCACAATTGTTTTCTCATAAATTACTAAAATTTTCTTGCAAATTTGTAAGTTTCTAATCTCTTTTTTGCTAATTCATTTTATTAGTATTTTTAAATTTCTAACCTACCACGACCTTTATATGCTGCTGCCGTGACCACAAGCAGCAAATCAAGAGAAAGAGCAGAACAAGGCGTGAACAATATGAAGGAGTTGAATCAGTGGAAACATTCAGCTGAACATCAGGATTGATTTGCTGTCACCGCCTGATGCTTCAGTGGTTAAAGTAGTTCGTTAGAAGTACAAGAAGATGAAGCGAAAGATGGATGAACGTTGGAACAGATGAAAATTCGAGCTCCTGCAGCTTCAACACCGTGAACCAGACTTTTGGTTTTAAACATCTCCTGTGTGAAGCAGATGAACCTGACGGCTGTGAGGTCTGATGACCGACGCTGAAGCTCTGCAGGTGATCAGGTGATAACTTCCTGTTTGTCCTCCGCTAGTTACGGCCCGCCTCCCGCCATGCATCAGGCTCCACAAGCCCCGCCCCCCCAGCAGTACCAGCCAATCCCCCAGCAGTACCAGCCAATCCCACAGCAGTACCAGCCAATCCCACAGCAGTACCAGCAGCCGCCAATGCAGGCCCCGCCCACTCAGCAGAGCTCCATCCAGATACCTGTTGGCTCCGCCCCTCCAAAGGTGGTCAGCACGGCCTGCATCTACCCCTCCCAGCCAGGTGACGCTCAGTTCTACTGTTTTCTACTGATCTCATCGATCAGATCTATCTCTGTGTTTGTGTTTATTTTACTTTATGTTCACATACTTTTATAATAAATAAGAATAAAGAACTATTTTGTATATTTAGAGCTGAGTTTCTCCCTCCAGACAGATAAACTCCATCATACCAGATGTCTGTTTCCTCCTCCAGCTCCAGCTCCAGCTCCAGCTCCAGCCCCGGCTCCAGCCCCAGCCCCAGCCCCAGCTCCAGCTCCAGCTCCAGCTCTGCTCTCTGAGAGGGAACCAAACCCAGACCGGCTCATTGTGCAGTGATT